ACATATTTATATGTATGTATGTATTGGCACGTTTACCTCCTTGACACTTGGCATCAACGTGCGGTTTGTCGCTGAGATATTTGCTTTTTAGAGTTTTATAAATGATCCATCATTTTGGGACAGATAACAAATGCAGTAATGATTTCAAGAAAGGCTTTTAATTTTCGCATTTTTTATTTATTTTTTTTTTTGTTTTTGGTTTGGCATATTCTGCGACAAGTTTTTATTCGTGATAACGTATTTGCCAATATGTACCCGCCACCAACTTACCCGTGCTTATGCATATGTATGTATGTATGTATTTATGCAGCATGTAAATTTGTTTGTAAGTATGTACATACATACACATGTACATGATATGTTGTTGGCTGTACATGACAAGATTGAAGTAGGCATTTTAAGGTAATTTGTTAATAGGGGTTATTTTTTAATGGCATTGCTAAATGACATCCAGCTGCTTAATGAAGTTGTTCGGAAGCATACGTATGTATGTATGTATGTACATCCAAATATTGGATAATTTTTACGCTTATCTGTCAGATATTTGTGCACATGCACCTATACATATGTACATACAAACATACATACTATGTGTAACCATAATTGTGTACAGTAACAATAAGATGTTAATTTCATTATAATACGATTTTTCAGTTTCTCAGTCAGTGGCCGTACCGTCATAATCGCGTATGGAAATATATGTATGTATGTACATTAGGCTGCCACTTAGCCATATAAAGAAAAAATTGGTGTCATACTCATCTCAACCAAACAAATTTTCATAGGATCAAGAAAGCGGAAGACGTGTCAAGGACAAAGTTGTAAAGCAGACATAGGAAATTTCCTTAAAACTATTATACGGGCCGGCAAACAAGTGAATTAATATTAATATTGAGACTTCAAACTAAGGACAAATATTAGTGCTTTTGTTTTAGGGTCTCAACTAAACTAGTACGTTTATTCGTGATAGTCAAACTATAACACGTATATGGGTAGCCTGACGCAACAGAGCTGATGCACAGTGCTGTATGAGCGGGCAAAATTCAAAAAAATTGTTGTCACGTATGTCAACGTGTTTGGTATCGTTGGAAAGGAAATTTATCCTAGATTAAGGATCTGGACTTAGTTTTTGTTTTTATCTCATAAGGTTCTCACAAAAACCTCTTAAAGTTGTGCGTTTTTTATATATTTTTTCTTTTATGAAAATGCCTTTAGCTGGAGTCTTTAAAAAAAAAATTGCTAAAAATACAATTTATCATACTTTATCTTAAGACACAATTTTTCTAATTAGAAAATCTGTAAGGAAACCACTCTATAGAGCTTTTTAAAAAATATTGAGTTTCCTGGCTGGAATGGCCTATTTGCTACACCCTAAAATTTGTTGCAGAAAATTTAAAAAATTCCTAAGTTTACAAAGGGATAAAAAAAAAATATGTAAAAGTATGTTTTTTTTTATTCTTTTATTTGAAAGAAGGGGCATTTGTCTTTGAAACAAAAAAAAAAAGTCTGCAGACTCATTGCGCTTTTCGAAGAAAATCGTTTTTTTTAAGGTTATAAAATAAACTTTTGCAAAAAAAAAATTTCACTGATTACCACAGTATTTTCCATTACTTAAATGCCAAAACATTCTTTAAAAATAGTAAAGTTTATTACTGTAGACACACGCGGTAGTGTTCTGTGCTGTGTAGTGAAGCGTAAAATAGTGAAAAAACTAATATTAATATGAATTCAATTATAAAAAACTCAATTTTAGCTGATATCTGGATTTCTACTCGTCCATCAGATAAAGTGTCTGCATTATCTGCATTTTTTGAAGACAAATTAATACACGCTAAATGCGACAAAGCACTTTTGAATCAAAAAATAAAACTATTTAATAGTGAGATGAAAAATAAGTGGAATTATAGTGGCCGCAAAAGAAGCGCTTTTGAAAAAACATATTCTAAATGGCTAAATTGGACATTCCTTTCCCTTCCGGATTCCAATGGAAATAAGGATAAATGTGCTGAACGGGCAAGACCTTCTAAAGAAGAATTTTGCGAAGCTTCACGGAGAACAAAAAATCGAATGGTAGAGCATTTGTTGAAAAACTATTCCATCGAAGAGCTCGGGTATGCTCTGAAAAAAAATGAAAAAAGCAAGCAAAGTTGAATGTTTTGAAAGTAGTACCGAAGGTTTGCCCATATCTGATTCACTCGCACTCTATATAGATCTGAACTTATCAGATCGTAAATATAATAGTTTACGTGCAAAAATAAACCGGTTGCATAAAGATTGTATACCGAGCTTAAACGCATTGCAAACAAAAAAACAAACTTTGCTGCCAACGATTAAATCGACTGAATATTCAGCCGAAGTTGATCTGAAATCATTATTGCTGAAAACAACGCAAAGTATTTTAGAACTAAGCCCAGATAATGGTGACATAACCAAAGCTTCTTTGGTTTTTAAGTGGGGCATGGATGGAAGTTCGGGGCATAGCCGCTATAAGCAAAATTTTGGTGACGACAAATTAACGGATGAGTTTATGTTCATCATTGCGCTAGTCCCTCTGAGGTAACAAAAAATTATCTAATATGTCTTCCAAAAACATTCAATAGCCTTTAAAAATAAATTCGAGTTTAGATCAGTAAATGGCATTTTAATTTACATTGACAACTTTTTACAGTATTATTTTGCAAAAGGCTGGTCTGAATTAATTAATTTACTCGATTAGCTATTTTGCGATATGACGGTCTTATATCTTTTCGACAAGCCATATAAGTTATTAAAAAATAAATATTTTTTCCAGGTTAATTGATTTGTCATCCAACAATAAACGGCGTTAGATAAAACAAATAATTTTTGATTCAGTATTTTGCAACAACTCTTGTTCGTGCGAAGTAACTAATAAAAAGGAAAACAAAATTATATTTGTCTTTTGAGTATTTAATGTCGTCTTGAATGAATAAAATTTTTTAAGCGTGTGACATCCACACCAAAAGATATAATCAATTTAAAAAAACATTTTGTAGTCAAAAAGGACCAAAATGAAAGTAGCTGCCATTCCTAGAGGGTTTGCGTAAGAGAGATCTAGGGAATCTTATTTGCCATGAATTAAGCCATAGAATGAAGCCTTGAAGTCTTTAATATTATTAGGAAAACGCCCTGTATAAATAATAAAATAACTACTCAGTATTGGAACTACTTCTGAATATCAAATTTTGCAGTTTCAATCTCAGTTTCCATGAAAAATGTAAGAGCTAGGTAAAAAAAAAAATTGATTTTTGTAATCTCCGTACTCTAATCCACCAAGAAACGAATTTTTACTCAAATCCGTCCATTATTCTATTTTTGCCCACTTTTTATATGGAGACACAGCACTGTGTGATGGTCAAAATTATAATTCACAATCATATAGAAGATTTTGATTGCAATCGATTTGATTTGTATTATTTGTTTACAAATACAAAAAAACCGTGAATCAATTGCTTTACGTACCAAAAATAAAACATGATAGAAATCAAAATTTTTGATTGAATGAGTAGTTTTATTTTGCGATCAGATTGATTGCAATCAATTTCTTGTAAATGATTATAAATTGTAAATTTACAATCACTTTATGATCGGGGAACAAATTTTCCGGTAAATTAGAAAACAAAAATACCTACTTTTTCGCATTTTCGCACTTTGTTTCAATAAAACTACACAAAAATATAGCGCTACAGCCAGATGTCTGTCCAAAGGCACTTATAAAATCAATTTTTATGTTGGATTTTTTTACCTGGATGGCTTGTCAATACTAATCCCTTTTTGAATTTAGAAATGTACAGAAATGTCTAAATCCAAAAATGTCTACGTGAAAAGTCTTGAAAAGCGTACTTCCTCTTTGAATAGAGAAAAATCATACAATTCGACAACAAAGTCGTATCTCGGTATTTACTAAAGTCTTAAATGGTATGGAGGATTAATGATCCTTTTGAAGAGATTTCCAACTTTTGAATAGAGGAGGCTCTATGAATCAGAATACAGAAAAATTTATAGAGGTATATATTGTAGCTTCAAAAACAAAGTAAATTTCTTTCTTATCTAACGAAATCCGAAATGGTATGACTGTAGAGCAGTCATGAACTTTGTCAAGCTAAATTCCCGCGAACTCTGCACTTTTTAATATATATCTTATTATTATTGAAATATTATGGATTGACTACACCGACACATACATACATACATACATATGTACGCACCTTCACTGTTAGACTACATATGTACGTATTTATTCTATGACTTTGACTGTCATACACTACTTAACTTACATACTTATGAGTCTAATTATTTTTAAATATTCTATGCTTAATAATATTCAGTATCTAGTAATTTTTAGTTTATTTATATTGGCGCCATAAATGTAGCGAGTTGGGTTTTTTTACCCTTCACTATAATTTTGAAGAGCCGGTGGCGTCTACGTTTCGTATGCACTGTGTTTTTACTAAATACATAAATACATACATACATATGTACGTTTTATGTCAAACAAAACAAGAAACTGCCTAGACCTTGAAATGTGACGTCGTTTATTAAGTGTAGTCTGGCGCTGACTTCTAATAAACAGTTTACTATTTCGTCTTATTTTTGTCAAGTTTAATGTTTCATCTTCAAGACAAATTAATTTAGAATGACTCTGGCTTGAATATGTATGTATGTATGTATGTATGTATGTATGTATGTATGTATGCAGGTGTTACTCTGCTCACTTCTACCTATGGTCTAATGGGGATGATGTAATGAAATTCAATTAAAATAAAATCCTACGACTGTACATAATCACACACAAATAAATACCAGAGTATGAACATGCGTACAAATGTACGTACATATATATAGTTAGTATATTTGTAGTTACGACGCTTTTTGTCAAGTT